ATTAGTGGTGTGTAAATAGAATCACCCATTGCAAAAATATAGTTGATTTACATTTTTGTCCTCATTTTTTTCCCCTTCCTTTATCTTTCTTTTCTCTCACTCATTCCATCATTTGAAACCCTAATCCAATGCTAGCCACCCCTTTCTAATGATGTCATCCCCTCCTTCCTCGCCAACCACTCCACAACTTCATTCGCCCTCTTTTGTCTTTTTTCCACATTTTTGAATTCTCTACAATCCATTTCCACTCCATCACTTTGTTATTCCCTCAACACTCAGCTCTTTTTTCAATCTCATCCAACTACTCTAGCACTGTTGTTGACCTCTTAATCCTTCTCATAACCCTCATCCCACAAAGCCTCTTATTCCATCTTTTCTCTTTACTTCATTTCGTCTTCTTCTTCCCTAATCCCTTTTTATTTTTTTAGTTATTTCTGTTAAATAAAAAATTATGATAAATGGGTATTTGTAACTTTGTTTGGCAAATTTTTTGTCTTCATATTTGTAACAACTCCGATTTGTGATTAGTCAATAAACTGTGATTAAGAATGTCTAATGATTAATTAAAAAGAAATTATGAGTTAATTACATGTGTTTTGTATTAATTGTGCTTATATATGTATGACGTATGAATATCTGTCTAAATTTCTGTTTCAATATGCGAATCGAAGGCCTTAACGACATCTGAACATGAAATTGACTAGGTCATCATATAATTGAGAATTTTTAGAATTTTATGGTGGGTTTAACTGAAATTCGATTCAGAACGAAATAATTAGAATAAATTAAGCATAATTAATTACACTTAATTAACTTAATTTAATCCAAGCCTATATAAGGCTAATGGAACTCTAGAATCATCTTTACACTTGCATTCATTCTTTCTCTTGAGCATACAAACGTAAGAGGAGAGAGAGAGAGAGAGAGAGAGAGAGAGAGAGAGAGTTGAAGCCAATATTGAAAGAAAAAGAGAATTGGGAAGAAACTAAGAGAATTAAGCTTTTACATCTTGAATTTTAGCTCTAGGTAAGATCATAATCCATAATTCTTGTGCTTATTTCTTGTATGAGAAGAATTCATGAGTTGTATAGGAAAATGGCATGAGATTCAAGGGAATTTAGTGATTACACACTTGAATTGGGCTAAGATTATGGAATGGAAGATCATTCTATGCATTCATGTTCATTTCATTTTGTAATTATTTTCAAGGAATTCTCTCTTGCATGTTAATTTTTAACTTGGTTTTGGAAATTCATGTTTTATATCATTTTAGCCCAATTGATCATGTTTTGGAAGGTTGGAGTTCAAATTATTACATGCATGTTATGTTTTCAAAGTTTCAAGGTTTGCGATTGAATAATTCACTTACTTTTGGGCTTGATTTTGCGAAATAGCTTTCAATTCATGAAGTCCTATGAGTTTATAAGTATTTTCTTACGTTTTGGCCCAAGGATGATGTGTTTTGATGCAAAGAAATTGAGTTTTGAAGCTTGGAGAGCAATTTGGAAATTCTAGAATTCGCACTCTTCGCTCGAGCGGTGAAAGCTTAGCTCGAGCGAAGAATGCAAGCTCCCAGTACTTTTGCAGACATGAGCCTTGGCTCGAGCGACATAACCTATACTTGAGTGACCACCCTTTGTTTTCAGTCTTGGCTCGAGCGACCAAGATCTTCGCTCGAGAGTAAAATGAGAACTCTCAGAAGTTTTGGAGACTAAAGGTCCACTCGAGCGACCAAAGTTGTGCTTGAGCGAACTGCCATGTTTTTGAAAATTTTACTAAGTATTTTCAAGTACATTTTGACATCCTCATTGCATTCTGACCATTCCTAAGCCTTAAGTAAGACACAATATTGAGGATAAGAATTAGAAACACACCAAGATAGAAAAGAAATAAGTTAAGTATTTTCCGAACGTGTGTTTCAATGTGTGTTCGTTATGTGTTTGTATAGGTCACGCTCCATAGACCGTCTAATCTGTCTGATTTGTTTGTTTTGCTTTTGGAGCTATCTGTGAGTAATAACTCTATAAAGCTATGTTTGACTTTAAGTATTTTCTGTACAATATGATCTGATCTGTTTTTTGAAATGCTATTTTGTGAATCATGAATGATTGTCCACTTTTCTAAAATGTATTCATGGCATCTTTAATATCATTTGATATGTGTTATCTGCTCCGTTAACGTCCCATAAAATTATGGGTCATCTGTGCGGCTCATGAGCCATCTGTATGTGGATCTTTATTAACGTCCCATAAAATTATAGGTCATCTGCATGTCTCGTGTATTCATGAGCCATCGGATTTATTAACGCTAATGGATGTACTACATATGATTATATGAGAGAATCTGATATGAATATGAATTTGTTTTTGAACTGAACTCTGATTTCTAAATCAGTTATGGACATCATGTAAAACCTTTATTCCATTGTTATTCTCTAGACTCTAGCTCAGTGTATTATTTATGTATGTAGGTGATCAGGCGCGTGACTAGGCTTGAGACTTCCAGTCTAGATCGGTTTGTGTCAGCCAACTTGTGTGTCTCTCGAGGAGATTCTAGAAGTCTTTTTTGTGGCCAAGCTCTGTGGCTTGCGTTTGTAAACAAGTTTTCAAGTTTTAAGTTTTATGCTCTTTTCTTTTGTTAGGACAAGTTTATGTTCCTTTTGTATGTAAGACTGACGTCATACTATATGTAAAAACAAGTTTAAAATTTACTGTCCTATATAAGTCTACACAGTTTTATGGACATTGTATATTTGATATTTGCTTCCGCTAGCCCCCTTATTTTTTTAATCTGTTTCATAGGCCTTCGGTAATCCTAGAATTACTAGCCGGTTACGATACTAAGGCCCCGTTTGGTGTAGTTGTTAAAACAGCTTATAGATTATAGCTTAACAGATTATAGATTATGACTTTAATCAGAAGTTGTTAATCTGTTTGGTGTACCTGTTGGATTATAGATTTAAGTTGCTGAGTAGTGTTTGTTAAATAAGTTGTGAAATAGCTTTTTCAATTAATTTTTATTTTTTGTTTGTCTACATTTCTCATAAAAAATAATAATAATAATCTATAGTCCATTTGAGTCTTTTTCTATTTTTAAAAAAATAAAAAAATTTAAGAGTATAACCATAAATTAACATGTCCACAGCAGAAGCTGATAATCAGAAGTAAATGGTGAGCAGCTTCTCAGAATCAGCTTTTTTGAGTTAAAATAAGCTGTTAGAATCAGAAGCTGTTTGAAATAAGTTTAACCAAACAGTCCAAAATAACTTTTTCAAAGCTAAAAGCCATAAGTTGGCTCTGAAAAGCTGAAACAAACACCCCCTAAACCTATAGGGACAGATTTGGGTCGTAACAAAGCATATAAGCCTACACAGCTCTATGGATGTTGTATGTTTGATATTTGCTTCCGCTAGTCCCTTATTTTGTTAATCTGTTCCAGATGCCTTCGGTAATCCTAGGATTACTAGCCGGTTACAGTGCTAAATCTATAAGGGCGAGTTTGGATCGTAACAATATTTTAGCTATATATATATTTTTAAATGCACCTAACATATACACATAAAAAATAAATTATATATGAAGGAATCTAAAAAAATCATTAACGAGCACACATATATTTATTTGTTTCTTATATAATATTTTAAAAAATTTCTTGACATATGCTTAATTTTGATGTACATCTAGATTAATTTTCTTTTAATAAAATTGACTAATTGTTTTTTTAAATTAAACCAAATAAAAAATATTTATAAAACTACAACATTTTATAAAAATTTCTATTGAAGGGTGTATAATGCAATACAGTAAATTTAAGTAATAGAATCCATGAGAGGTGTTAATAAAGAGAGTATGGCTTTTCTCAATTCTCAAATCTGGTGGACTCATTGGATCCACTTCCATTCATTGGATCCACTTCCATTTATATAATTTAAGTTGTTGATATTTTAAAATTTATTGAGTGTATTATTTTTATAAAAAAAATTAAATCAATTAGATAACGAAAATTATATATTTGAATTATATATAAAAAAAATAAATGATTAATATAAAATTAATTAAAAATTGCATAATTTTCATTATTTGATCGAATTAATATTTTACAAAAATAACATATTTAACAAATTTAACAATTTAAATTATTAAAACAGAATTAAAAAATAGACCAATGAGCTACGTCTCCAGGAGAACCGGAGAGGGTCCGTAATAAAAAAAAATAAAATTTGAAAAAGAACTATGCTATTTCTGCCTACGTTTGGCAAGAAGGTTTGGGTGGGTTTGGGGCTAAAATAGCCACAAAAAACAAAATAGGCTATTTTAGCCACAAAAAACAAAACATCAAATCCAACCCATAATCATTACAATCCTCTCTCACAAAAAAAGCCAAAAAAGCCAAAAAGTCAAAAAGCCCTTCCCAAACCAGGCTAAAATAGCCCAGGCTAAAATAGCCAAAAAGCCAAAAAGCCAACCCACTTCCCAAACGGATCTGTTTGTTTATAAAAAAAATTGATGTAACAAATTAAAATGACCACAATGTCCCTTTTATTGGTCGACAAGCGAACAAAGACGTCGTCGTTTGAGTGATTATCTTCTTTCATCTCAACCTTGTCCGGACTCCAAAGTCTGAAACAGAGAAGGATAAAACAGTCAAAATGAAAAAGTGCATCGAAAGCGGGATCGAGAAGTGCTGGCCACTGTCTTATGATTCTCTCCCCCTGCAACCAAAAATTATTGATTGATTTAGGCATCATAATTCTAACCAATCACAGTTTATCATATCTATTGATATTTTTTAATTAGCTTGTAATCTTATCTCTTTCACCAATTACAATACCATTGAAACCACACATAACGGTACCCCAAAACCAATCAATAACTTCTTGTCTGCAACACATTTGTACTCTCTCTCCTCCCTCTGAACCTCCATTGTTTCCAACCTTTTTTTCTTCCCCCCTTTTCTCTCTCTAAAAAAGACTCATATTTCTCACTCTAAAACAACAGTGTATCCGCTCTGTTTTGTGTTTTTGTTTTTTGATCTTTTTCAATATAAACATTGCTCTCTCTCTCTCTCTCTCGGAAAAATCACCACTGCACCAGAAAAACAAACCCTAAAAACCCAGGTTAGTACCACAGCAAAAACCTTTTTCACCATATCAAACACCTTTTTCTTTCTAGGAGAAGACCCATCTCAAAAACCTCTTCAAAAACCCATCTTTTTCCCATATCAAACCCATATCAAACACTTCTCTCTCTCTCTCTCTCTCTCTCTAGATGCGGAATCGAAGACCCACCTCATTCCACTTCCTCACCACCTTGTTCTTCTACATTTCATCCAATGTAGGTCTCGTAACCTCAAAATCAACAATCGAGCCCTGCTCAAACTCCAACTCCTGCAATGCCTTACTCGGCTACACACTCTACACCGACCTCAAAGTCTCCGAAGTCGCATCCCTCTTCCAAATCGACCCCATTTCCCTCCTCACTTCCAACTCCATCGACATCTCATACCCAGACGTCGACAACCACATCCTCCCCTCCCAACTCTTCCTCAAAATCCCCATCCTCTGTTCCTGCCTCGACGGTATCCGAAAATCCCTATCTACCCACTACAAAACCCGCCCTTCCGACACTCTCTCTTCCATCGCCGACACCATTTACGCCGGCCTCGTCTCCTCCGATCAGATTAAGGATGCCAATTCCATCTCCGACCCTTCTCTGCTCGATGTCGGACAGACCCTTGTTGTTCCTCTTCCTTGTACTTGTTTCAATGGGACTGATAATTCATTGCCCGCCATTTATATGTCTTATGTTGTTCAATCCCTGGATACTATGGCTGGGATTGCCTCCAGGTATTCCACTACCATTACTGATCTTATGACTGTCAATTCGTTGGGGAGTGTAGCTATTGATGCTGGTGATATTCTCGCTATTCCATTTTCTGGTAATTCACTTCATCTTTTTATTACACCGTAGCTTTATTTTTTGTTTTTGGGTTGAATGTTTTGTGTAAATTCAATTAGCATTTCATGGGGTTTGTTGAATTATAGAAGAAGCTGAATTTAAAAAAAAAAAAATTTATGATTTTTTTTTTTGTAGCATAATTAGTTAGGCCATCTCTAGCCCTTAATCAAATTTGAGTAAAAGCTTTATTTGATATGAAGAAATCCAACAGACAAACTCAGATTTAAGCATAATTTTGAGTAAAAATTTCAGGAATGGCAGAATTATTGAAAGCTACAGAAAGGTCTTGAAAATTTTGAGTCTCCCTTGATTTGAGTTTAAAAAAAAAAAACTAGGTAAAACTGAATTTGATTCCAAGTTTGGGTCAAGGAGTTCAGAGTTTTTTGAGTGATTTTTACCCGAAATTAAATTTGGTATAGGTTAAGGGTTGGAGATGCCCTTAAAAGACAATGTTTGCCATTCCTTTTGTTTGCTGTTACTTTATTTGTTCTCTAATGGTGTTGATTGGTTCAAGCAAACACCCATTAGACACAATTTCTGTCTTTCAGACTTAGGAGTAACAATTTTGCCAAATTTGGATTGTTTCATTTTATTAATTAATGAATTCTTATGTATGTTAGTGAGTTTGTAAATGGTTGGTCATGGTGGTATATATTTTTTATTCCTCTGTTTTTCCTTGCATTACAGCTTGCGCGTCAAATTACCCAAGATATGCCTCGGATTTTGGTCTGAGTGTTCCTAATGGAAGCTATGCCATCACTGCAAGTCACTGTGTGCAATGCAGTTGCGGTATAGGAAGTAGCAAGTAATTAACTTTTACCTTGGAGTTATGATCTGTGAGATACATCTTGCTGTATGTTTGTTTGTGTGGTGGTTTATGATAATCTCATGCTTGGACAGTTTATACTGCATGCCAGCTTCATTGGCGGTATCTTGTTCGAGCATGCAATGCGGAAACAGTAATCTCATGCTTGGAAATGTTACGTGGCAACAGAGCACTGCCGGCTGCAATGTTACTTCGTGTAGTTACGGTGGCTATGTCAATGGAACCATTATCACTATGTAACCCAATTCCCATGACTTTTAACTCTTCCAAATTTTCCTTGTATTATATGGAGTTCTAATGTTTGAATCCTTTCATTTATTTACTTATTGCTCTGCAGGTTGTCGACATCTCTTGAACCTCGATGCCCTGGTAAATATTTTTAATTTTTTTATTTTCATCTATTGGAAAATTCATGAAAAAGTGAAATCATTTACGTATTTTCACTGGAAATAATAGGAGTCTATTTGCTTAAAGTAAAGGCACTAAAATTTCAAAATATACTATGCAAAATATGGGCCTAGTGATGGGACTGGATTAATTTTATTGGTTCTAACTAAAGCATTTTCATGGTTTATTTGATTTTCATGTAGACATTGTACTCTTGTCTTCTGGTTTCAAAAAAAATTTTCTTCTTTTTCTTTTATTGTACATCTCACCCTCCCTAGACCCCGCTTTGACGGGAGCGTCATGCACTGAGTTACCCTTTTTGATGATTGCTGAAATTGCCGTTATGTTTGTGTGTCTAAATGCTGGTTTAGATGACCATAAAAAGGTTCATAACACATTTAGCATTCATTTGGATGGATGTGAATTCCAAATCAAGGGATTTGAGGTTAAAAGTATTAGAGAGTTAGCTATTATAGGTGGATACTAGAAATACTTCAAAAGAAAAGTTAAAATAGAAGAGATGTATTTTAGTATGATCTTTTTTGCTAGAAGAGAATCCTTAGCATGATTTCAAATAATTACATTATAAATTATTTCAAATCCATCATGATAAAGCTATTTAATTTAGGGGTTGTTTGGGGTGTCTTAAATAAGCGCACTTTTTTTCTTTTTGGACTAAAAAGTTGAGGAAAAAAATATGGATGTTTGAGTTAATTTATTGACTTTTTATGAAAAAATATGTATTAAAATATTGTATAAATAAGTGTGTAGGAGAAGATAACTAATTAATCCGTATGGGTTGGGCAGTGCAGTCGGTTGGGTAGGACAGGGAAAAGATTGCCACCTTTTCGGGCTTTTGATTGGACGGTGTTGTTCGGCCCGTTAGGGCTCACCATGGGTCTCGTTTTTCTAATCGGAACTGTTCATTGTGTAGAACTCATCGAGTCCTATACGCTTAGAAAAATCACGTTCATTGAATATCGATAGCTATCTGATCGTGTTTGTTTTTTTTGTCACATGTTAACTATATTCATTTTTTATACAAAACTGATTTGATCATGTAGTTAGCAATATCCGATAGACATGATTTTTTACAGGCATATAGTACTATATATTGAATGGTTCGGATTATCAAAACGGGATCCATGGTGGGCCCCCACGGGTCCAACTTTACCATCTAACTTAGTGAATATACATATGTAATTTATTTATTTTTTCCTTTCACTGCCTTTGCGTTGACGTCAGTACCTAGGTTGGCGCAAAATTGATTTGTATTTTAATATTTGTATATTAATTTTTTTTATATTTTTTTTTTGGTGAATAGTGATAACTTTTTAATTTTTTTGGTAACTTTTTACTTTTTGGTTTTTTTTAAAGTTGTCAAACCAGGCCTTAATCTCAAAATTCATAATGAGTTCTCCTTGAATGATAAATGTCAAATCCATGCATTTCGAATCCACGTCTATCCAAACGGACTCTTATATATACTGTGAAATGTGTTTTTGGTTTACGAGCAGTGACTTATAATATTGTATTGAATTATTGAAAATGGATGCAGCTCCACAGCAATTCCCTCCGCTTATAGCCCCTCCTTCTTCAGTAAGCAGGGAGTCATTATTTGCCCCGGCACCTGCACCTTCTCAGTCAGGTGGTGCTACCGCAACCTCTCCAGCATCTTCCGTTGTGCCTTCATCTGGCGCAGTTCTAGGACTTCCTCCCACAAATGCCCCAAGTGGACGCCTCACTAGTGGCAGCTCCTCGGTGAATCCATTAGCCAGTTTTCCAATTGCAATTGTTTTAGGTTTGTTTTTTGAGTTTGTGTTGTCATTCTCATTGTAGTTTTTGTATCTTATGGTTGCTTCCTATGCATCAGGTCTTAGGACTTCAGTTAATATTTTTGTCAGTGGACTGGTTTACTGATGCAGCCTACCTGAGATGTTATTTTTAATTTTTGTTTTCTTTTTTCTTCATTTGCGTAGCATTTTGGTCCATTCAATTTTCCAACCTTGTATGGTGAATCATGGCAGTTGCCTTTTCTGTAATCTATTCTTGTGATCATGTTGGAGCTATAAAAACATTGGCAAAGTGATTGCATTTTCATACTCTAGTTGATCTTCCCGTTCAGTTATTTGAAATCCATCCATCCAGATGGAATAGGACTTGCATTTTCTTTACTGAGTTATTGGTTTTCCCCAATTTTCACTTGGTTTAGAGCTAGAATGTTTCAGTGGACTTGAGCTTGCTTGGCTGTTTTCATCAAGTGATATGAGTTTTTCAGGTAAAATATTTTTTTACCTGGATGAACTGAAGTTCCAAACTTCTTGTTGTGCACCTGAGTTGTTTTGGAGGCATGGTATTGTTTTATATGCAAATTTTTAGTAATTTTAATGCAATTGTATTGCTCAACTCTGTATATGATATTTGTGAGAATTTCAATATAAACTGTTATTTCTCTTGAATGCCTATTTTTGTTATTTAGGTTTATTGTCACACCAAGGATCCTCTAGAGTGAAATTTTCCTAAAGTTTCTTAGAGTACTACATTGTGTGGTTAAGATTTACTGGCAAGTCATATCAGAAAAATTGATGTGACTTCCTAATAAATCTCAACCACACAATGTAGCACTCTAGGAAACTTTAGAGAAAAATCACTCTAGAGGATCCTTGCTCTTATTGTCAATCTCACTTGCTCTCAGTTCAATTCAACACTTCATGGGTTTTTAAACTTTTGTTTTTGTTCTGTTCCTCCTAGGTCTCTGGCCTTGTAAATCTTGTTGCCTCTGATTTATTTAAAGAACTATTGTGAATTCATTCTTGGAATTCTTTTGAGCTCTTGAAATGTCATGCGAAGAGAATGACTTCTCTCTAGTCTCGTCGGTCAAAAATTTATTGAGACGGATGGGGTCCTCCACGGCGGACTAGTCTTTGATAAAATTTTGGTTTATTTACGCTGTGTTTAGTCAGGAGATTTGGAAAGAGAATTGAAAAAAAATAAAAAAATAAAATAAAAGTGTGAAATTAAGTGAAATATAGATATATTTTATTTATATTTTAATTACATTTTTTTTTTCAAATTTTTTCCCAAATTGTTTAATCAAACACAGCATCAGACGAGAGCTCAGCCCTAACAAAAATAAGTGAGCTATGAGTTGAGGAACATTTGTTGGTCGTATGATCTAGATTGGTACAGTTTCAAAAAATTACTTAAACTCTGTGGTTATTGAAAAGTTGGGAGAATATTTTGAGCTTGTGTTTTCTAGATTATAATTTTGTAAGTTGCCGTTTGACAATTAGTTTTTTTAGTTAGCTTTTTAATTTTTTATTTATTTTAGTTTAAGACTAAAAGCTTGTTTGGTTTGATTTTTTTGATTTTTTTGACTTTTATTAAAAAAAAAATGAAATGATTAATATTTGAAAGTGATATTTTGTTTTATTAACTTGTTTAACTTATTGTCTTTTGTATTTTTTTTAATTAGAAAGTCATTGCCAAACTACTAGACTCTGTTTGTTTTTCCAATGTTGGTTAAATAGAAAGTAAGTAAAATATTTTTGAAATAAAATATTTTTGAGTTATTTTTTTAAAAATGGTTTACTTTTAAAAATTTCGTAAATTAATTTTTACAAAATTTAATTTCACTCACTATCTTTTAATACATTTAGCATTTTTAAATAAATATTTAACTCACAAAAAAGTCATAAATGACATTTTATTAAATCAAAAATTTTCTTTTAAATAATAAAATATTTTATGTCAAAACAAACCTAACCTATTTGAAAATTGCACCAAATACTAACCATTAACTTGAGGGAGTGGGTCAAGTGAGTTTTACTTGAAAAAACTATTTTTATATTTCTCATTCGTTTGTTGGGAACTTCAACCTTAGCCCAAAAAATGCAGCAGTCCCGCTATGTAACTCGAAAGATTAAAGGCTCGAGTGACTCAAAATCCAAAACAACATCGTTTTGTTTTGTTTTGTTTTTTTTTTTTTCCTTCTTCTTCTTCCTTTCCATAACTTGTAGAAGAAGAAAAAAAAAAAGAAGAGAGGAGGAGAGGAGCACAGAGAGAGAATCATCACCATCAACCAAAAATCAATAGATCATCATCAACATAGAGAGAGAGAGAATCATCATCACCAACCAAAAATCAAACCCACTCAACACATCATCGTCATCACACATAGAGATCAACCAAAACAAAAATGTAGAATCTGGAAAAATTTCAACAACACATCATTATCAACAACAAACAACAATCATCAACATTTTTTTTCTTTCTTTTCTTTCATCATCAACAACAACCAACAATCACAAAAAAAAAAAAAAAACAATAAAAAAAAAAAATGTAGAATCTGAAATTTTTTTCAACAAATCATCATACACAGATCTATGTCCTCTGTGCGTACACAGAGCTCGTGCTCCGATATCGAGAAGAGTCGGAGATCGGAGGTCGGGCAGTGGAGAAGAATCGGAGGCCAGAGGCGGCGAGAGGGTTTTGAAGAGTTTAATCGGCTCTAACTTCTCCACCCAACACAGAAACAACAGGGATGAGTGAGTGAGTTCAGAGAGGAGAGAATGTTGGGTCTGAGAAAGAGAGAGAGAGAGAGAAAGAGAGATACAAAATAAGGGGGAAAGAGAGAGTGAGTCATGGAGAGAGAGTGTTGTAATTTTCGAGCCATTTGAGGCGAAGTATTTCGAGCTACGAAGCATTAGTCAAAGGAAAATGAGTGAGAGCATTAACGACAATGGTACGTAACTCAAATTTTGTGACTCAAAAGTGACTCAAATGGCCAAAACGATGTCGTTTTGAGTACAGAACAACATAAAAATGGCCAAAACGACGTTGTTTTGGCCATTTGAGCCACAAAATTTGAGTTACGAGACATTTTCCGAGCACTAATTAGTGCCATCACTAATGATGTAGCAGTGAGCTCCATCATAAATGATTTGATGTTTTGGCCTTGGTGTTGTATTTTTTTTTTCTTTTTTTATTGAGTGTCATGTCATTAGTGATCTTTCTAAAACTCCAAAATTAGTGGTCTCTATCATTGTTGTTAGTCAAAATGCAAGTAATAAAAATTAAAATTAAATTAGGGCAAAAGGTCACAATGCAACAACAACTTGATAAATTTTGGAACAATTAAAAAAAAAAAAATCTAAGATTTGAGTTTTGTAATAAAATAAAATTTTAAATTTATCAATTTAAATTATAATTTTTTGATTTATTTTCAATTTAAACAATTTATCTATTTTTTTTAAGTAAAACAATAAAAAAATAATATTTTAATCATTAAACTTGATGTAAATATATATAAAATATTTTTTTTTATTAAGTTTAATGACTAAAATATTTTTTTTTCATCGACTTTTAACATAAATAGGTAATGATTTAAATTGAAAATATATTAAAAGATTATGATTTAAACTGATAAAGCAAAAACTTAAGATTTATTTTGTTATAAGGGTCTTCTTTTTTTTTTTTAATTTTCTCATACTTTTTAATTAATTATAAAAATTGATAAATTCACAATGAAATCACAACTTGTGGGCCCACCATGCCATTAATTTTTTCTTACAAATAAGATTTATAAACTAAAGTGATAATTAATAGTAATTTTATGATTTCATTTCGAAGACTCAGAAGCCCATTTTGGGTTGATTTGGTAATGGGTTAAAATAGTCAAAAAGATGTGAAAATTTTATTCATAAATTTTATTTGAGGGATGGTAATTTATTTAGTCTCAAGGTTTTTCATATACGCTAATTAGTTCTATTGATTTTTAAAATGTAAATTTAATATATTCTTTAAAAATTGAGTTCACAGTTATACTTTTCTTTTCATTATGTTTCATTTTTTTTTTCTTTTGTGTAAAAAAGGTAAGATACATAATCTGATATAAGAATCTTTTTTATTTGAAATACTTGAAATGTGCAATTCTTCAAACATTTTAAAAATAGTACAAAAATCTCTTAGTAAGCTTTGGGCAAATATATAATTTCAAACTGTAGGGCTTTGATTTTGAATGGTTTGAAATGTGAGTTTTTTTAAACATTTCAAAAGAATTACAAAAATTCCTTAATAAGTTTTGAACAAATGTATAATTTCAAATTGTGGGATTTTGACTACAAAAATCTCTTAATAAGTTTTAGGCAAATGTATAATTTCAAATTATGAGATTTTGATTTGAAATGACTTGAAATGTGAGATTTTTCAAACATTTCATAATAGTTTTAAAAACACCGTAGTAAGTTTTGAGTAAATGTATAATTTCAAACCGTAGAGTTTTGATTTGGAACAGCTTCAAATGTAGGATTTTTCAAACATTCAAAAAAGAGTACAAAAATTCCTTAGTAAACTTTAGCAAATGTGTGATTTCAAATTGTTAGGTTTTGATTTGAAATGACTTGAAATGCAAAAATTTTAAAACAATCCAAAAAGAGAAAAAAAATCCATTAGTAAAATTTGGACATATGTGTAATTTCAAACTGTGGGTATTTTGGTCATTTATTTGTTTGGACGGACTGGATAAGGGGGGATTGTAATTTATCGGACTATTAATCCTGTGATACATAGTCTATGGACTATTTGATTTGATGGGATGTGTATTTATATTTGTTTAATCATGGGATTAGATATAAAGAAAAAACTATTCCATTGAATCTTATGTTTGTTTCAGATATTATGAAGAATGATAAATGATCAAAGGAGAATTTTGCCCTTTTAAATTGTTTACCAAATAATATCAATATTAAACATGTCTTTAATATTTTAATTTTTTTTGGGCTAGATTAAATAAAAATTTATTTTATTTTTTTAAAATTAAATGAATTTATTTTTTAAAATTTAAATAAACAAAATATCAATAAAAATTTGTGATATTTTTTAAAATAACATTTTAAATAAATTTATTTTAAAATAATAATTATTAAAGAAAGCATCAATAAAAATTTTAATAATGAAATTAAATAAAACATCAATAAAATTTTAAAATAAAGCATCAATAAAAGATCTATAAAAACTGATTTAAAAAAAATAAAAAATAAAACATCATTAAAAATTAATAAAATTGTTTTATTTTTAAATTGAGACATTTAAATTTTATTTAATTTT